CGTTACCGAGGCGACCGACGTCCGACTGCGCCGGCGCGGCGCGGCGCGGTCCCTGGCGCCTCTCCTTCCGGGCGGCTCCGGCACCCGGGACGGGAAGAAAGGTTCCGCGATTCCTGGTTCCGCCCCGGCTCTGAGCCTTCGCGGCCGCGTGCGGGGGTCTCGGGAGTGACCCCCGCGCTTGCTGACCGCCCCCCGGGAAGGCGAGCGCTCAGAAACGTGCACGGACCGAGCCACGCAGCGCCGTGCAATCGCCCCTCTTTCCGCCAGCGCGCGGGACGCTTAGAGGATCCCTGGGACGCTCCCGCACCCTCCGCCTCAGTACCTGCCGGACTCTCCCAGCTGCGCCGGGCGGCGAGCGAGGCCACCGCCGGTTTATAACGCTTCCCGCAGCCCGCGCGGTAATAAACACGCAGTACACACTCGTTGCGCCGAACGAAGCCCTGGATGTTTTTCGGACGTTAGCTTAATATTTAATGTCTCACAGCATCACTGTGTGAATAGGCACCAGTATTACCCCCACGTATGGGCGAGCAGACAGAGCTCTAGGATGGAGCGGCAGGTGGTTAGTGACAGCGGGGAAGGGACACTGGGGCTCCCTGGCTGCTGAGTGACGGGGTGAGGCNACACACACACACACACACACACACACACACACACACACATACACACTCACTCTCATAATGAGAAAGATCGGGTAGAATGACCTGAGCAAGTCTTCAGTGAGTTTGGTCCAAGACAAGAATTCAATGAGCAAAGCCCTAGCTCTCAGGACATCACCGCTGCCTTGCTTGTGACAAGGAAAGAGTGGGAATGAGCTGCGGGCCCAACTGGAGGAGCTTAGTTAAGTGAATTACGGCAAATCCATACAATGCTGTGGTCATAAAAGATACGGAGGAGAGTTTCAGGTGGGAAATGAACAGAGTGCCCACTGCCTCCAGAAGCCCGGAAATCCACAGTAAAGGGAGCTTTTATTTTTTTATTAAAAAAATTTTTATATGTCTTTATTGATTTCAGAGAGAGGAAAGGAGAGGGAGAGAGAGAGGGAAACATTGACGATGAGAGTCATTGATCAGCTGCCTCCTGCAGGTCCCCTGCTGGGGATCGAAACTCCAGCATGTGTCCTGACCAGGAATCGAACCTTGATCTCCTGGATCATAGGCTGATGCTCAACGGCTGAGCCACACTGGCCAGGCAGTAAAGAGATCTTTTAAAGACATAAATTCACAAGGACAAGGAGAACAGGAAAGGGGCCCCAGCAACAGTATCTCTGGAAGCCAGAAAGCAGGTAGACCAGTATTACCTGACTTAGCTGACCCCACGCAGCCAAATCCCTCCCAGCTGTGGAGCTGAGAACCAACCCTTATTCATACAACAGCATTTTCAAAATTTTAGGAACTGGTAGCACAAGCTGCTTCTAGATCTAAAGGTGAAAGAAGGCTAAAGTAAACAGGACTATTTGAAGGTGTAATTGAGGAACAGTTAGATCTTTGGATCCCCTCCCTCTCTCTAGCCACTGGGTGATGCCCCTCCCCCATCTGGGGGTTAGCACTGGAAAGGGCTGGGCATGCCAGGGATGGTGGTGAATGTGGAAACTCTGCCAGAACAGGTGGGTACTGAATGCTGAATGCTGAATGCACAGACAGAGACGTCCCCCAGTGTTCTCCCCCACTGAGCTCCCAGCAACCTGGAGCTAGACCCCTACCATCCAGGCAAGGGGCTGGAGGACCTTGGGGAATCTGACCAGTCCAAGAAAAAAATCCTAAAGATATTGACAGTCCAGGAAGTTCCCAGACAAAGGGCGCACCAAGTTCAACTTACAGTGAAGCTAAACCCACAATGACCATTCACAGACTTATTTTCCAATCATGAGCAGCCATCTGAAGTTTCCCAGGCATCTGAGAAAATCCTCTTATAAACAGAAAAAAACCACATAGAATTCAGAGACTAAAGAGAACAATCATTGAAGTAAGAGAAGACACTACATCCATGAAAAAGGAACAGGAAGTTACGTAAAAAGAACATTCAGAAAACAGAAAGTAATCCCTGGAAATTGAAAACAGGAGGCAGGGTTGAAGAACTCGAGAGGGCCAAGAAGAGAAAGCCAAGGAAGCCTCACAGAGGGTAAAGCAAAAAACACACAAAACACACTGAACATGAGAAGCAGGAAAGAAAAGGAAGTTAGGAGACCAGCCCAGGAGGCCCAGGATATTGGGCCACAGGGTTTCCAGAAAGAGAAGTGAAAAAATAGAGGGAAGGAAATCAGTAATTTATTTTTAATTTCTGGAAAATAAAGGATATGGGTTTCCCGCGTGAAAGGCCCCTGAGCTCAGGCAATAGAGGAGTATCAGTGTGAAATTCCAGGACTCCAGAGACAAATATCTTAAAATCTTCCAGGAAGAACAAAATAGGTTGCATACAAAGGTTCAAAACACAGAATAGCCTCAGCCTTCTCGTCAGCACTGTGGCAGCTGGAAGACCATGTCTTCATGATGCTGAGGGACAAATGTCTCCAGCTTTGAATTCTTGCTCAGCCAAGTGTCGGTCAACCACAGGGAAGGGTGCAAGATTTCCAAATGATACCTCGAAGCAGTCTTTCTCAAGGACTCCTAGAGGAGGATGGGGTCATCACAAACGGGGGGGGGGCAGGAAAGACATGGAGGTGCCACCCAGGAAATGTGCCAGCCAGCAGAGGGGTCAAGGGCATCGCCCAGGTGGGGATGGATAGGGACCCAGATGATGTTGCACAGCTGTGCAAGCAGCCAGTCCAGCTGGAAGCAGCGTGGCTCTAGGGCTGGCGTACTGAGGGCTGTCGTCACCAAGATGCCAGCTGCCACCATGGTGCCTTTAAGAACAGAATCCCTGGTGAGCTGGGCCCAGAGTCTTGTCCACACATGGCTGGTCTTGATTGCACGCTGTGAGGTCCCCACTGCCTGCTGCCTGGCTCAGCTGAAGACACAAGTTCCATCTCACCCGAGTGACCACCCTTACCCTGTCTGAACACAGGGGCAGTGAGCTCAGAAGCAAGAGGACAGAACAACCCGTGTCTCTGACCAGTTCTTGCCGAGTGCCTGGCCAGAGCCCCACCACAGCCCGACCTCACCGCCAACCTTGCCCACGACTGCCTGAGAGCGGGCTCTTGCCGAGGCTCAGGGAGACTGAAGCTAGTCCAGTGTGACCTGCCCAGCGGTCTTCCTCTGGCCCGGCCTTCATGGCCACTTCCTCCGGCCAGGTGTGGGCTGCCCTTCGCCTCTCTGAGGATGCGAGGCGGGGCCCGCTCTCTGGGGATTGGGAGGGTGTTTTCCCTGCCTCCTTCCTGACGGACAGGTCAAAGGCTGGCTTTGCTTGTGTTGTATCTGCCAGGGTTCAGCCCAGAGCTGGGCCCCCCAGGTGCTCAATAGATATGTCCCTTGAGGCTGGCACATCACAAATGCCCAAGAGAGGCTCCCATGCTCAGGGCTGTGGAGTTCAGATGTCACAGCCGATTAGAGTGGAGGCTGCAGAGTTAGGGTTCTGGGGTGACGCTGGAGAGCAGTCAGACGTGGACACATGGAGATACCCAGGGTGAGGGTGAGGGTGAACAGTGCTCTGGGCAGGGGGAACAGTGTGTGCAAAGGTACGGAGGTGGGAAAGGGTGGGGTAGTCAGCTTGACCCCAGCCTGGCTGGGCCTTGAGTGCAGGTGCAAAGCTTGGGCTGGTTTCCAGGGCAGTGAGAGCCATGGAGGAAGGGCAGGGAGGGCGCTCAGGGCCAGGCAGACGCTGTGGCTGCTGCCTAGCTCAGGTGGGGGCCACGGGTTGGGGAGGAGGGAGGCAGAAGCCACGGGAGGCTGGCAGGCAGGGCTGAGGGGGCATACACATCTGTACCCAGACCCGCAGTGGGAGTCCCTGGGGCAGCAACTCCCCCTCTGAGCGGCAGGGTCTCACCAGTGAAGGGCGTTAGTTTGACGAGGGCAGGGCTTGCCTGCTGGGTGCTCAGCCCCTCCCTTGGGCCCTGGCCTGCAGCAATCTCTGCCTCCCAGGGCGCCCCGTGAGCCTGGAGCCCTGCGTGCAGCAGGGGTGAGGCCCGAGGGAAACGGTGCTGCTTTCTCCCCACTGGGCTTCGGGGGAGGGAAGCGTGCCACTCGCCAGGCGGGCACTCTGCACAGGAAGAGGGTGAGGGCTGGCGGCTCCGGGAGGCGCGGGCGGGCTGCCTTCCCTGGGAACCGAGGCGAAGTGCCGGGGCGCTCATTCTTTGGGGAACGGGTGGATGGAATCTAGCCTGGATCACACTTGTCATTACACCAAGGCAGTCAAAGGTGCAGTGGGCCAGGGGACACGAAGTGCCGGGGTCTAGTCAAGTCAGGCGGCCGGAGGCGGTTGTGGCTCCTGCAGGCCGAGGGCCCGGCCAGAGCAAGGCGGCCGGAGGTGACTGGGACAGGCAGTGATAAAGCAGCCCGCAGATGGGGAGGGGAGGCGCCCAAGGCCTGGGGCCGGCCTTGCCTGTCCACCAGGGTGACCCTGGAGGCCAAACTGGAGGCCACCTCTGGGCTGGGATGACTGCAGCCTCCTCTCACTGAGCGCCAGGTGTCTGCAAGGCGCCCTGCTTGCATTACCCTGTGGCCTCCTCATCGGTCCCACGGCGGTGTGCCCATCTTACAGATGAGGAGACGGGGGCCGCAGAGTGGCCGAGCCAGGACAGAGGGCAGCTAGAAGACCCCCGGTGCTCCTCCGGAGAGGGTGGGCCAGGCTGCTGGGCAGCGGGAGGTTCAGGTTCTCCCATCGGGCGACGGAATTCCCCTCTCTGTGGGCCCATCTGACGGATGGGAAAAGTGAGGCTCCAGGGGAGCGGCCCGCCTGCGGACACGGCTGGGTCG